AACCTCAATTTTTCAGCCAACTCATCTTCAACAAAGCCTCCACCACTTAGCACTGGGGAGAGGAGAACCTATTCAGTAAATGGTGCTGGGAAAACTGGCTGACCACATGCAGAAGATTGAAACAGGACCCCTATCTACACCCATACACAAAAATTAACTCTAAATGGATCAGAGACCTAAATGCAAAACCTCAAACCATAACAACCTTAGAAAATGAAGGACATACCCTCATAGAAATTGGAACTGGCATCCAATTCCTGAACAAAACCCAAAACCCATAGACCATGAGAGATAAGATAGACAAATGGGACCTCATTAAACTGACAAGCTTCTACAAGCCAAAGAAACCATCAAGAGAGCAGGGAGACAGCCTACAGACTGGGAAAAAGTATTTGCCAACTCCAGATCTGACAAAGGTTTAACATCTTGGATCTGCAAGTAACTCAAACATGCTGAAAAGAAAAAAAAAAACAAACAACCCCATTATAAAGTGGGCAAAAGATATGAACAGACACTTCTAAAAGGAAGACATTCGAGCAGCCAACAGACACATGAAAAAATGTTCAACCTCACTAATCATCAGATGCAAATCAAAACCATACTGAGATACCACCTAACTCTATTTAGAATGGCAATTATAAACAACTCAAAAAAATAACAGTTGCTGGAGAGGATGTGGTGAAAAGGGAACACTTCTACACTGTTGGTGGGAGTGCAAACTAGTGCAACCTCTGTGGAAAACGGTATGGCAATTCCTAAAAGCTCTAAATATTGACCTCCCATATGACCCCGAAATCTCCCTACTGGGAATATACCCTGGAGAACTCAAATCACTCTATAAAAAAGATACCTGCACACATATGTTTATCACAGCATTGTTCACAATAGCAAGAACCTGGAAGCAACCATGCTGTCCATCAAAAGAAGACTGGATTAAAAAAATGTGGTACATATACACGATGGAATACTACGCAGCCATAAAAAAGAACAAAATCATGAATTTTGCAGCAACCTGGATGGAGCTAGAGTCTATAATACTGAGTGATCTCTCACAGAAACAAAGATCTGAGTATCACATGTTCTCACTCATATAGTGGACCTTGAACATCCAGTGTCATACTATAAGAAAATGACTGACAGTGGTGGGAAACTATGGGGGTGGGAGGGGAAGGGAGATGGGATTAACGGTAGTAAATATCTGTCTGGGGATGGGGAGATACCTCTTATCAACAAGGTTGCCTGAACGGAGCATATTTGTATACCTAACCCTTAACTGTACCCCACAATAGAAAAATAAATAAATAAATAATAATTTTAAAAAATCATTCATAGGTCAAAAAGTACTTTTATAGGTTTTGATATGAATAGTTGGAAGTTTAAGTAGTGCACTACTTTTTTACTTAAGGAATCTGTTTTTATGTTCATACATTTAATCAAGTCCTTCTAAAATATGTAAAATGCAATAGAAGTATAATCATGTCCTTCTAAAATGTAAAAATGTCCCTTTATATCTGGTAGCAAAAGCTCTGTGGGAGATTATTAGTAAGATAATTGCTGGTTTTCAATTTTTATATACATATTACCTGAACATTAATTTAACTTATGTATAGATGTATAGTCACACAGGTTCACCACTTGATTTAAAAAAAAAAAAACACATAAAAGGTGATATACACACAAGAAATGGAATAATGATACCAGTGTTATAGAACTCTAGAGATCATGGTCAAATCTGTATTTTTTTTTAAAAAAGAGAACAGGTCTAATTTTACTCCTTTGTTTTGTACTTGTACTTATTTTCTTTCTTTTTTTTTGAGTCAAGATCTCACTCTGCCGGGCTCGGTGGCTCAATCTGTAATCCCGTGCCTTTGGGAGGCTGAGGTGAGTGGATTGCCTGAGCCCGCGGGTTCGATACCCGCCTGGGCAACTTGGCGAGACCTCATCTCTACAATAAACCAAAAAATCAGCCAGGCATGGTAGCGCGTGCCTGTAGTTCCAGCTACTTAGAATGCTGAGGCGGAAGGATCACTGGAGCCCAGCAGGTCAAGGCAGCTGCAGAGGCCGGGAGAGGCCACTGCACTCCAGTCTGGGTGACAGAATGAGACTCCTACTCAAAAAAAAAAAAGATCTCACTCTGTTGCCCAGGTTGGCATGTAGTGCAATCATGGCTCATTGCAGCTTCAAATCCCTGAACTCAAGCAGTCCTTCTGTCTCAGCCTCCCTAGTACCTGGGACTACAAGCACGTGCCACCATACCCAGTTAATTCTTTTAAAAAACTTTTGTAGAGACAAGGTCTCATTCTGTTGTGCAGGCTGGTCTTGACCTCCTGATCTCAAGCAATCCTCCCACCTTGACAACCCAAAGTGCTGAGATTGCTGGTGTGAGCCATGGCATTCAACCCTGCTTTCTATTTTGTAAAATGATAGTGTTACTAAGATGCAAGAATGCCTTGGAAGACTCTGTGTGCTGGGGGGGGGGCGGTGAGGAAGCACATAGGTGTGTCTCACTTTATAGAAATATAACTAAATTATACATATATGATAATTATTCATTATAAGTACCAATAAAACTGTACCTTCAGACCTTGCATGTCTTTGAGGGTCTGACTTTATTCTTCACATCTGAATGGATTGCTCAAATAAGTTATTTCATTGCTTTTTACCAGGTGCCTATTCAACTCCTCTGCTATTATTTTCCAGCTGCCCACAATTATACATGTTCAAGGTTTGCTTTGATTACAAATTTAGTAGTTGAAACTACAGTATGGAATGCTAAATAATTCAAAAGAAAGACTCATTTATCCAACCCCACCCCCCCTTTTTTTAGGAGGATGTCAAAAATGAATATTTGCAAAAGGAACAACAAAAAGAATGGAAAGATTTCAAGGTATAATACTATATATGCCAAAAAAAATACATAGGAGAATTAATTATTCTTATAGTAGAATATATTGAATTGGTGACAACTTCAGAAAGTATGAATATTAAGGGAAATGAAATTATTTTTATGAATGGGTGTTAAAGAGAATATTTCTACTGAAAACATATTTTTAGTGCTTTATACAGCAGTAAAAAAGCCATGTGAAATAAATTTGTAGTAATTCCATATTTTTCCTCCCAATTTAGAGGAAAGAATATGATAAGTACGTACAGTGTGCTAAACAGTTTGTATATGTTGTCTCTTTTAAATCCTTTTACTACAGCTACTGATTTTTGTGTTTTATGGAATGGGACACTAAGAACAGGAGAAATTAAGAAACTTTTCCAAGTAACACAGATAGTTAATATAACGGGAAGTAATACAATTTGGGTTAACCCAATTCTAGATACAATGAGTTCTTTGCAATTTTGTGGTGCTTTTTGGGGCTATTGAATGTGGTTTGCAAGTGAGGATAAAACTATCTTTATTTTGTAATACGTAAGTCAAAGGAAAATATGATGTCCACGAGGCTATGGGATTAATTCGAATTTTTGACTCTTTGAAAATTTGCCTGTCAGAATCATTGTCATCACTTATACAATACTTCCTATAAGATACAGAGTGAATCAAACTCCTTAAAGATCTTATTGATGTACATCCTTAAATGTACTGAAAAATAAAATAAGGATAACTTGAAGATTGTGACATAGCTAAGAAACACAGGATCTCAAATACATAGAAAATGCAATAGAAACACAACGCAAAGATCTAAGACAATGTACATTTTTAAAAAAAATAACAACTTTTCTTGACTTTTCTGGCTAACATTGTAGATCAATGTGGTATAAGACAACATATCATCTATAGAAATTTAAAACCACAGGCAGATATTTTAAATAGGGTATTGTTTTAAAAAACAAAATTACTCCAATGGATTCCCCAGATAAATAGAAGAAAGAGTAATGTGTTTTCAAATGGCTCAATCTTGGATTCTGGGTCTAGGATACCATTGGTATAAACAAGTGCAGCACAAGCTCAATGTGGATTTAAGCCCCTTATGTATTTTCTCCCTTTGTGCTGTAAGTGTGTAGGGTAGGGTGGGGTCACTGACCTACTTAGTAAGAAAAAATGTGCCAGTGAAAATCTCTAAATATTTATTTCTGTTAAGCAGGGAACAGTGAAACAAAGAGTAAGATAAATTCCCATGTTAAAACACTACCTCCCATAACCATCTGCAATGATGCAATCTTTGGCAGAGTGGTAGTTTTCTGTTGCCTTGATAAATTTCTGATTGTTTCTGTTAAGATCCATTTTTGTGTATTTTTTTCATATTTTTGTCAATCAAGAGCACCTAATTAGCTCCCATGAAGGATCTGCATATTTTCTAATATTATAATTCACTAAAATATTAAGCCTAAGTTCATGATTGAAATATACAAGTAGGTTCAGGATCATCCACCATTCTTGGGGGTCTCATGAGAGGAGGCAGCAGAGATCAGCTGCTCCTCAGCACCCTGGCACCTGGCCCACTGCCACCATCTGTGGCAGTGGGCCAGCTCTGGCAGTGGGAACCCACAACAGGAACTTTGGAGAAGACGCATGGAGGAAATCTGGAGCTCTGCCCTGCCACCAGTGAGGAGACACTGACTGCCACCATTTTCTCTGTCCTGGACAGAGACCTGTGTTGACCCACTCAGCTCTATTCAGTCTCCAACCTGAGGCCCAGAGGTGATCTCTGCACCCCTCTGGGATCAACCATGGCTGACCCAGGGAGGAATCTTCAAGAGCAGACATGAAGAGACAAATGCCTTACCCCCACATTGGGCCAGGAATGGACACATCTAATCTGAGAGAGATTTGGCAGCAGCAGCAGACAAGTTGGGGTGAGTCCAAAGCTGATTCACCCTCCATCCCCAGCAGTCCATGGGCTGTCTGATCCATGCTGATATCAACCTGATCAGCCTGCACTGAGAGGTGAGGGGAGGGGCTAGAGATCATAGCTTGCTCTCTACCACAACAGCAACCAAAAGTAGCAGCAGTGCTTGGGACCCAACAGTAAAAATAAAAATAAAGGGAAAGGAATATGATGTTCTAGAAATGGCAACAGAAAGAACTCATTTTTTTCTTTTTATGTTTTGTTTATGTATTTTTTTCTTCATTTTTTAGTTTTTCTGTCTTCATGTGGGTATTTTTGAGAGTGAGTATGTCATCAGGTTTTTTTTGTTTCCTTGTATGTTTGTTTGATGTTTTCTTTGTTTATTCATTAGTTGGTGTGCCTGTTTTCCTTCTTCTTCTCTCCCTTCATCTTCCTCTTATCAGCCTTCTTCCTTTTTTTGTTCTTATCATTTTCCTAATCTCATTTTCTTTCAGGAGATATACATATACCCCCACTGCATGGACAGATCGAAAGGTGTAGAGAAGTGGGTTTAAGGGAGCCCACACATCAGTCAGCAGATACTGTGATCTGCAGATAGCTTCCTGAACTACAGCTCTCCCATCACACTTTAATCAAATCTCAAAACTACAAAAAGCACAGTCCCCCATCCCCACTTCAGCTTCAAAATTGAACAAATTCAGGGAATCTGCATAAGAAAGAATAGGGATTGAGCAAACAGAGCAATGGAATTAAAGAAGGAGGGGAAAGGGGGGAGGAAAACCAACACAAATGAAGAACAACCAAAGGAAGGACACAGCTCACACACAGACTTCTGGGAAGAAAGCACTTGAGAATATAGACTTCAGAACTCAAACAATGAAAAGCCCCCAAAATGGTCTCAAAACACAAAACTAGATATTAAGATATAATAGAGTGAATGAATAGAAATAAGGAGAGACAGAGGAAATAATGAAGGAGTTGATAAATGAGATGATGGCAATAAAGAATACAGTAAATAAAATATATAACAAACTGATAAGCATAGAAAGCAGAATTAACCAAGCAGAAGAAAGAATCTCAGAGCCTGAGAACCCAAATATGGAACTAATCCAAACTGTTAGAAACATAGAAAAGGAGCTTAAAAAAAAAAAAAAAGAACAAAACCTCTAAGGGATGTGCAATTATATCAAAAGGTTGAATCTATGTTTAATTGGCATTCTTCAGGCAGATAGAGAGATAGAGACCACGCTGGAACATTCTAAGAAATTATCTAAGAAAACATCTCTCATCTCATCAGAAATATGACATTCAAACACAAGAGAGTCAGACAACCCTTGAAAGACAGCAAATGAGAAGACCAACTACACAAAGTATGTGTAATTCACTTACACAAAGTAGGTATAAAAGAAAAAAATCCTAAAGATAACAAGAGAGAAAGGTCAGACCACCTACTGGGAATACCAAGTAGACTTATCTACAGAAACACTATAAGCAAGAAGAGACTGGAGTCCAATATTCAAATTTCTCAAAGATAAACAATTCCAACCAAGAATTTCCTACTAGCTAAGCTACACTTCATCGGCAATGGAGAATTAAAATCCTTCCCAGATAGTCAATCCCTAAGAGTTTATGCCACCTCCAGGTCAACTCTATGAGAAATGCTTAAGAAGTATTAAACACAGAAGAAAGAAAAAGAACAACCACACTTTTCCCAAGAATTCAAGAAAAAGATTTAAAAAACACACATATCTCAATCCAAAAATCAAAAGAAAGTCAGCAAAGAAACAACAACAAACTATATAAGACTCTTATGACAGGGATAAACTCTCATATTTCAATAATTAGACTGAATGTGAATGGACTAAAAAGACATAGAATGGCAAGCTGGATAAAAACACATGATGCAATGATATACTGTCTCCAGGAGACTCATTTCACCAGAATGGACACTCACAGACTCAAAATTAAAGGATGGAAAACAAATTTTTTTTGAGTGAATAGAACACAAAAAAACAAAAGTTGTGATCTTAATATCAGACAAAATATCCTTTAAGCTATCAAAAATATTCATCATAAACATATGCATCAGCATAGGAGCACCAACTTTTGAAAACCAGCTTCCAGTTAAACTAAAAAAAGATATTGACTCTAACACTGTCCTAGCTGGAGACTTAAGTACCTCGCTAACAACTCTATATAGATCATTGAGACAAAAAATTAATAAGGAGATCCAGAACCTCACTTGATACATGACCAAATGGACTTAATAGGCACCTACAGAACAATCCACACAACAACCACAGAATATACATTCTACTCATTACTTAATGGAATGTACACCAAAATCAACCAAATCCCCGACCATAAACAAATCCCATAAGATCAAAATACTGCCATGCACCTTCTCAGACCACAGTGGAAAAAAAAAAAAAATATATCAACACCAACAACTTCCCCTACCCCCAATCTACAAAGATGTGGACACTAAACAGCATGATACTGAACAACTCCTAAGTCAACACAGAAATCAAAGCAGACATTAAAAGATTTGTGGAAACACAGAAGAAAGAAAGAAAAAAATAGAACAATCATATTTTCCCCAAGAATTCAAGAACAAGATTAAGAACACACACACATCACAATCCAAAAATCAAAAGAAAACCAACAAATAAGCAAACAAAGAACAACAAACTTCATAAGAACCTAATGAAAACAAATGAAAATAAAGACACATCTTATCAAAACCTATGGGATGCCATGAAAACAATACTGAGCAGGGAATTCATTTATTTACAAACACACATCAAGAAAATGGAAAGATCACAAGTTAACAACAGCCTAAAAAATCACCTAAGGGAGCTGGAAAGACAAGACCACCAAAATCCTAAATTCAGCAGAAGAATCCAGATTACCAAAGTAAAAGCCCAAATACAGGACACAGAAGACAAAAATATCATAGAAAAAAGTCAATGAATAAAAGCTATTCTTTGAAAGGATAAACAATATTCATGGACCGATAGCCAGGTTGATGAAGAAAAAGAGAGTAAAAGCCAAAATAAACACAATAAGAAATGCAAAAGATCATATCACA